GTCGCGAGGCTCCCAGGAGCGGCTTAGGGGGCGAGAAGATCTTAGAGTCATGAAAAGTAGGAGCTTCTCTCACGAAAAAATAAGATTTCGTTTTTAAAAATTTCGGCACATTCAGCCTGATGTTCGGTTTTGAGTGAGCCTTGTATTTGGAAGGTATATTGTTCCATCAGAGTCTTCTTTAGCCATGTTTAAATTTCATACCCATCGGGTAATGAAGTCTTTCATTTTAGACTGGGAAGAACATGCTCGTTTTAATATTAAAGACGAATAAGAGGTTTTACTTTAATATTGAAGACCAATAGGGGTTAAACAATGTGTAAAGACTGTGGAGATGGGTAGTCTCCAATTTTGTATATATAATGTTTTGTGCTTCTCATGGTCAAAATTTAATTCCTTGTGTATTGCAACATTCTTACTTTGTTTCATTTTTCTTATCAGGGATATTTCACCTAAAAATGGTACTGAGGTATTTTTCTCACAAGAAATTTATGAAAAATACTCATTAGCTCCAAACCTCTCTGAGCTGTGGACTCTGTCGAACAGGTACTTGCTGTTGCGCTGTAGCCCCGTGCTGTTTGTCGCCCTGTTGATGCGACTGCTTGGGTGGCGTTTGCTGGGGGTGAACGAGGCAGAACCTCCTGCTCTGCGTGGGCAGCCGGTTGCGGACGTGGTGGCCTGCCCTGCACCCAGCCCCGTGGAGCCTGGGCCGTGGCCTCTGGTCTTCTCTGTCTTGTTGGCAGGTTGGGCTTTGGGTGGTTGTTTTTTGTTTGTTTGTTTTGCTTTCTTTCTACATATCCAAAAGGAAGCAAGTTTGACAGATGCTATTAGGCAGCTGCATTAAGGGTGCTCTAATCTCCTGACTAGACCTAACTCTTCTGAGAAATTTGTGGCTTGCTGCCTGTCTGTCTTACCTGGCTTCATAGAAGGCTGCCAACACAGTCCACCTTGAAATCCTCTTTGGTCTTGCCTTTGGGAAGCAGCTGATGCTATTTTCATAGACCTAACCGTGCGTTAGCAACAGTGGAGACACAGCTAGTTCCCTGACTAACATGTAAACTATATAAATTATTTCCTGAAAAGTAGGAATTGAAGTGCTGTAGGTAGAAATTATTTCAGTACAGATATCAACATTTGTTTGGTGTAGTGCAGAAGTATAGTTTGCATGTTTGCATGCTACTGCATTGCAAAAACTGCAGTATTGTTTTCAGTCCTTTTTTTTTTTCCTTTTTTAAGCTCATTAAGCTAGTGAAGAAGTACAACTAACGAGCCACTTCTGGTGGACCAGAGTTTATACAATTGAAGAATGGGGCAGGAGACCGATGTAGCCACCATGTTGTGAGTGCAGGAGTTCAGTGTGTGTAGAAGTGTTCTGTTCCAAAGGGGAATTATTCTGGTTTTCTGAACCATCACCGAGAATGCGTTTTTTAGGGGAATAACTGTCTACACCATATGACTCTGCCTATCCCTGATCTTGAGCTAGAGAAAGGGGTTATAGTCATTTTCCTGGCTCCTGTCTGTTGGACTAAGTTCCCTGAACCGGTAGAGGCCCACAGTCCTCATAGCTTGCTCTGGGCAGTCTGGATGTTCTTGCACAGATCCTCTAAATACACACCACAGAGCATTTCTAGACTGCATGACTGCAGTTAGGAGTGGGTCTGTGTTCCGTTGTGTGTGATAAGAGCAGATTTATAAGAATAAGTTGGAAAATGCTGAAATTGGGTTGACTGGCTGTAAGTGGAATAAGAGAAGTGAAACCTCTTGGGACAAATATGAAAGAAGAAGCTGCAGAAAGTTTGCCATTTTGTATATTGGCATTTCTGTTAAATATTTACTGAAGTGAATGGCCTCTCACCAAAGAAGCTGTGAAGGAAGGTTGCTGATAAAATGAAGGAGAAAAATTTAAGCTGTCAGCTCAAATAAAGGATAATGCTGTAAATATGGACAGAAAAGCTCTGTCAGATTATTTTGGTTTGCACCCTGATGAAGACTGTGACAGCACTGCATACTGGAATGATCTTGATGTGCTGCCATTTCATTCAGTGCTGAATATAGCCAATTTAAGCTGCTAGAATTCCTTGACGTTCCTGCATTGGCATATCTGAGTCAGCATCTTGTTGCTGCTGCGGCTTAATTAAATTTGCCAGTTTGTGCCACAAGGATGGACATATTCTCATATTCAGAGAGACAGCTGTGAAGTATTATTAAGAACTGTGGACGTGATACTGTAAGGTTTGAATAACACTTGAGATGTTTTCTACTGCTGAAATTGTGTCTTAAAAATATGCTTTTTCCAGAAGTTCAGCAGTTAATGGTCATTTCATTAACCTTGAATATTTTCCCTTTTAATGACATAGAGAAGAACTAATCTGGCCTTCATACACTTGAGTTGTTTGAAGAATCAGAATTATAATATGGCTACTCTGCTTTTAAGGCTGCTGCTTTGCCTTAGCCCGGTATTATTTGGGCATTGTTTAGAATTGGGTTTTTTGGCATTGTTTAGATTTGAAAACAGATGCTGGGTCGTTTGCTCCATTCCTAGAAAAATCTTCATCAAAATCTGAAACTTATATCGTAAGAAGGGTGTAACTTTAATTTACTACTTTTACGGTGAAATAAAGGCTATCCAGTGAAGGAGTTATTTGCTGTCATGATTTTGCTATGTAAGTTAGACCTTTCTAAGTACAAATTGCTTCTGACTACAAAACATCAGTGTTTAATAAGAAGGGTGTTCCAGAGCAAAGAACGTGAATTTCATATTTGGCTTGCCGCCTCACTATTCAGTATGTAGACTACTATATATGCTATTTTGTTTTTTTTAAAAAAAAAAAAAACAAGTTCAATAACAGTCCTCCCCGCCCTGCACGCTGAAACTGGTGGAAGTCTGCAGTTGGTAGTAAGGGCAAGTGTCACTGTCTAGATCGAGTTCCAGAATATGAAAATTTCTATGACATAGGGTAGCAGTTGGAAAAATACCATGTCCCTTAATATGCATTTTGCTGAATTTGAAGTTTTAAGAGATTGGATGAGTGTTGTTATTCTGATAAATATCCATTCTTAAGTGAAAAATGTAAGTTATTTTTGTTGATTACTTTTTTTTCAGACAGGCAAACAAAAACGTAGAGGTGCCGGTAAACACTTCAGAAGACAGACAGACCTGTAGCGTGCAGGCTGCAGGTCCAGTTGAGGTGAAGGCCAAAACTATAGCTGATGATGAACCTTTTCCAGAACCTAGACTCCCCTATCCATTTACCTCTTGTTTGAGTGAGAAGGAACAAAAGACGTATTTATATCTGATGACTAAGTACTCTAAAAAAACAAATCATTTTCAAGTTAATGCAGCAAGTCAGAGAGAACTATTCACATACATGGTAAGTGTTATCTGTGTGTATATACATACACAAACATCAAAGAAAAAAATAATACACCTTTTGTTGTTACAAGGAATAATGGAACCATAGCAAAAATTCTTTTAAAATTAAATTTGTTCTCTTTTCTTTTTGATCTGTATTCTTAGGAGCAATAATAGGTGTTTAAAGGATTCAGGATATCATTTTAACAAAAGTAGAAATTGTTTTGTTATTTAAAGGATTTGTTGGTTTGTATTGGCAATAGTATTCTAAACAGATTGCTTGCAGTAACTGTAGCTCTTTAAGGTCTGAATTAAAAGAAACATTGAGCAGAAAGCATGAAAAAAACTACCCTAAACTAATACTTGTACCACTCCTACTATGTTAGAAGGTGAATACTTTTTTATGTGATTTTTGACATCATCGTGTTATGGAAGCTTTCCTTGCTGGCATGTGAGGAGACTCTGCACTTGCCACGTTGGTGCTCAGTGGAAGAGAGGCACAAGCTCACGCTTGCTGCTCGTTCTCAGCAAAATCATTTAAATAGTGCGAGACTGTGTTAGTTATTTAGCTGTATCATTTTTATTGACTCCTGTATGTGGTAATTAGTAAGTGTTTTTGAGCCACTGCATCAGGTATCTCATGTTTCTTCTTCACTAATGTTAGTTCATTTGTTTCGTGCTATAACAGAGGAATATCTTTCCCAGGCTAATCAGCACCTATTGCACTGCTGTTACTAACAGTGTCATTTCTTATAAAATCAGAGCTTCATGGCTTTCTAGCTGTCGTGTAAGCTTGCTCCACCAATGCCTTGAAATGTTTTTTTTTTTGTTTGTTTCACCAATGCAAAAGAAACTTAAAAAAAAAAAACTAGAACTAACCTTGCAAATACTCTGGAAAGTTTGTTATTAGCCTATCTGGTATAGCAGATACCAAGTAACACTGTCTAAAAACTGTTTTTTTTTTTCCTTACCCAGCAAATGAAAGAATTAGTAAACACTGAAATTGCAGAGTTTATGAAATTTGCCCAAAATGCTGCAAAAAGCTGTGCCCAAGACTATGATACTATCTCTGAAGATGCACAACTTTATACTGAGGTAAGTGGCAACACGGAAGTTGATTCCATCCCTTCTTGCACAGTTGTAGTGAAAGCTACTGGTGGCGGCTGATGTTCCCAGTAGATCAGTATTCTTTACAGAAAGCACATGCAATTGTAACTATTGCAGTTGCAGATTTCTAATTAAATTATTATGGAAGATGGTAATACATAAACTGTTTTTTTTCTTTCTTTTTACATTAGAAATTATTACATGCTTGTATTCGACATGTGCAAAAGTATCCTGAATTTTACACACTCCAGGAAATCATAAGTATCATGGGAGGAAAATTTAACACACAATTGACCTTTAGACTGGAAAAGAATCTTCTTGTAATGGTAATACTTCACATAAACCTTTTGTTTGGGAGTGGTTTCAAATAAGAATTACATATGGATTGCATTATGCAGAGCTACTTTTTAATATGTATTATTCAGTGCTTGGGTTAGGGGTTGCAATTTATGATGAAAATGGTTTGAGTAAAAAGAGTTGAAGTATTCGGCAATAAGGCCGTAAATTTGTTGTTTACCATGAAAAAGGTTAATTAACATACTGTTTTAGCCATAATATCAACTTCATAATGTGCCTGCCTGGTTTTTCTTATTTTTCATTATAAAAAGCAAAAATTAGGGGTAAATATGATTCCAGTTGAAGGTGTTTTCTTGTACCACTTTATTTTGTTCAGGGTACAGCAAGACGTGGTGAAACACAATTCCCTACCCTGCCTGTTCAACTACCCGTAGATTATAAAACTGTCTCCTCTATTATAACTCCAGAAAAAAAGGCTTCTATTATGCACAGTGTGAGTAACTTTTTCTTGTTGTCATTATGTCATATGTTTTACAGTATTTTATTTTTAATGTGGATATTCTTTTTTTGCTTTAATTTCATGTTATCTTTATTTAATATCATGCATAATAATCATACTGTCTTTTTCAAAAAATTGAATAGCATTAATTTTTTAATTTTAATCTCTAGATAGGGCATCCTGTTTTCTCTCTGTGAAACATGAGTCCTTTAATTAGAACAAACTGTCTGTGGCATGTAGATTATATTGTGTACTGTTATATTGTTCCCTTAAATTTTACTTTAAAGCAAAGACCTGATCTGAGCTGCAGTCCCACTTTTCTGTATCCTTTATATTCCTGTTCAATGTAGTATTTCAAATTAGTAAGAATGAACAAAAATATAGATGCACATCCATGTAAAAGTTTCTGTTTAAGAAAGAAGCCCTAGTCATAGTAAGAAATACCTTAAACTCTTCTATGTTAGCTTACCTTGGGGATTTTCTTGCTTTAAATGTCATAGACTCCATTTCTGTCTTGAATCATTTTTTGGTTCTATTCCATTTTATTGTTAAATACCAATGTTTCTGTGTTCCTCTGCAAAAAAAAAAAAAATCAGTTTTCTGTTTTGGTGGAGTTTCTGTTGTCTGTTAATTTAAATATTTAACATTTAATTATACGAGTTAAATGTTCATATATCAGAAACCAACTTTTCAATGGGGAGATTGTGACTGGAAAGGAGGTCCAAGAGGAGAACGTTGCATCGCAACAGCTATAAACAGGTTTAAGTGTTACAGCTTTAAGCAAAGAGTATTACTGTTGTTGTCTGAGGTGACAAATTAAATAAATAAATAAGAAGTAAATTGTTGGTTCAGTTTTGACTACACTTCAGTGCTAGGCCTCTTTTTACTGTTACTACTTAGCCTGTAAGAGGATCTGTAATATGTGTGTGTGAATTTCCTTCCCCCACTCTCACTTCAATGGGACGATAGTCCTCTATCCTTTGTCCTGTATCCTTCATATTCCTGGTCAGCACAGTAATTCAAACTAGGAGGAATGAACTGAAAGATAAAGTATGCTGCAAGGTAAATGCAGACAAAAAAACTTAAGGGAGACTTTTTGCCTTTTCCTCTGATTTTCAGCCCTAGCAGAATGCTGATATTTGGGCATTTGTATGTTTGGGGCTTTTTAATTCATGTTTTCTTTTATGATTTTATGTATGGCAGTCTGTAAGTGTCTTTAAAAAAATCTATTTTTGTTTTCTGGTCTAGGATATTAGTTCAGATTCAAATGCAGAAAAACTTGCTTTGAAATACTGCCCTCAAGTTGTTCTAAGTAGTCAATCATTATTTGCTTTACTGAATAATCATGGAGTAAACTACAGGGAGCAGTGGGAAGTTCCGGTTTGTGTTAAAATGATCCCTGTTGCAGGTATAGTATGCTTTTGTGTTACAGAAATTGTATTTGTCCCTTTCAATTAATTAATCCCTTTCAACTGACTGAAGAGCCCAAAACAAACAGTAAAACTACTCTGATTCTTGAACAGAAAAGCAAAATGTTTGAAGCTGTTCAAGGTAGAAGATTAACTGATTTCAGCAAGCCAAGAAACAATTCTGAAGCTTTATTTAGAAAAAGAAGAGTAATGAAAACTTTTTTTTTTCCCTGGATCTAAAGGACCGGTTTATGTCATAGAGTAACAAATTCGCATTGAAAATTTGTGGACGATGCTTCTCTAAATGCAGCAAAAATATTTTGAATGAACTGAATAACTCATCTGAATATTATACTTTTGTCAAGCACCTTGTCAGGAATTGTAATAGAGATTTCTTCTTCTGTTATTCCCCTGACTGTTTTCATTTTTTTTTTAATTGCAAGATTTTCAGATAACAACTAATAAGCTGGGTTTTTTTTTTTCGCCCCTATGAGAAATAAAACGAACTTTTCTTTAGTGAGGACCCTGACTCCTTTCAAGTCAACTTGGTAGCTTTTAGGCCTAATTTTTAGATCCAAAATTACCTTCTAAATGGCATACAGATCATATTAGCACTGTGTTGTGTTTCTTAAAGACTTTTTTCTTTCTCCCTTATAATCAACCTCTTGCATTTTTTTTTTAACTATAAAATAGGGTTAGTATGAGCCATGTTCACAATATGCTGTTGATCTTTGTATAAGCTTGGTGAAGGTATCTCTATTATTTCTGGGTGAATTTAATAATGATTAGCCTGCAAGTGTATGAAGGTGTAAACAATACACAGTGGTCAGTAGAGCCTGAAGAAGAAATGCAAATTACAGCCATCTCTTTCAGGCCGTAAATTAAAGATAAAGAAATCAAATAACACTCCCCCAGCCCCTCAAGATAAGTTCATGAATATAAAGCTCAGTGCATGCAAATGAAGAAGAAAATGTATTGCTTTAAGATATTTGATATGATAATGAAATAGAATACTGATCCTAAATTATTTTATAAATTCTCTGTTTGGAACTGTGCTTCAAATGCTATTGTCTGTTAAGCTGTTCTGTTTTGTTGCTGCAGGATCATAATGATTCACGCTATATCTAGAATCTCTTTATTTTCTATGGCTAATGGAAGGATAGTGTTTCATCTCTTGTGTAATTATGGGATGGATTCGAATATAATTGGAATTTGGAAGAGTAATTTATTATTTAAATTATAGACTATTCTTTTTTTCTTTCGTGTTATTAACTCATCTCTTTGTATTCTTTAAAAGATAGCAAACCAGCTAAGCTGGTTTATGTTGACTCACCTCTCCTGAAAAAGGAGATGACAGTAAGAGAAAGGAACCAAATCTTCCATGAAATTCCAATGGACTTCCTGGGAACTAAAAAGTCTTATGTATCAATTTCTGATGTATTGATGGACAAACCAGCTGAGGAGAATAATTTTCAGTGGGATGTAAGTAGCTTCACCTCTTCTCTCATTTAAAAAAAATCGAGGGAGAGAGAGAAAGAACTAGAAATTAGATTTACAGTTATTCACGTTTCTCCTGGATGCTTTCTACTTTTGAGTTATGTACCCTCTTTCTTTAAAAAAAAAAAAAAATCTGCCTAGTTTCTTGAAATTCCTCTATGGCATCTTTCTTCCAGCTTTATTTTTTACATCATTAAAATATATTTCAACTGTTTTATTTAGGTGGAAATGACTTTACAAAATACTTCATTTCTATTTTGAAAGACCTTTTTGACTTTTAGAATTTAAGTGTGGTTTGTTTCTTCATTCTCTTTGAAGTTACTTTCCCTGTGTGTCCATAGTCCAGATGTACAGGAGAACATTGCCTCTTTTTTTTTTTTTGGTGTGTTGTTAATATGTTCTATTTTCTCCTTTTCTCCTTGTGTTAAGATTCCTTCTGATACCTACCAGTGCAGGAAGATTCCTGTTCCAGATGACCCAGGGATGGATTTTGATGATGATGTTACAGAGTTAGAAACTTTTGGAGCAGCAGTCAAACTCTCCAAGTCTTCTAAAACAGAGAATGCTTTTCCTAAAGTTGATAACACTGGTCCAGTTCTGTCACATGAGCTAAAAACGGACAAAAATACAATACATAATGGAGGCGAAGAGGGAAGAAACACAGTTTCTGAGCAAGGTTTTTCAGTCAGCAAAATGCAGCTTCCATCATTTGGCATTCTGCACTCCAACCTTGAAGAAAATTCATCTCATAAAAACTTTTATTCAGAGGAGGAACTGAAGAAAGCACAGCACGTCATAACAAAGGAAATATCTGACAATGAAACAAAATTAAATACTTTATCTAATGCTGTTACTTTCAAGAAAGAGTCTGATGCTGCCCAAAAAAATAAGAGTTGTGTTTCTTTGTGCAGTAGTGACACTGATGAAGATTGCTTGGTAATTGATACAGAATGTAAAAATACTGATTATTGCAAATCAGCTGTACCAAATATTATTTCCAGTGTCTCAGTAGAGACTTCCAAATCACCTTCCTCCATCCATATTCCATCAGAAAGCATGGTTGATTCCTCAGATAACACGGATCAGGGTAAGAATGTTTCCAGAAAGCCTACGAGAAGGTTGTCCAAAGAACTGGATCCTGTTGGACAGATTTTGAAAATGCAAACTGAGCTACTCAAGTCACCTTCCCGAAAATCTCATGAGCAGCCACTAGTGAGCTCTGATAATTCTAACTCTGCACCAACCAGCGTGCCCGAATCTCCAAATTCATCGGTGATCTCTAACACAGAAATTGTACCAGGCCCTGCCTCAAATCCCAACAGCTCATCTAGAAATACCTGGACATGGCTTTTCCAGGGACCTTCAAAGAGTAAGCAATGTTGTTAGTTGTGTAAGGAGCAAAATTTTAAAGTTTACATAAAATATAATTCATTTTAATTCCTTCCCCTGGAAAACATCCTAATAGTACCTCCTCTGTGTTTGTTTAAAGATGTGAATTAGATTTTTTTTCTTTTTTAAATAATGCATTTTATATGTAAAGAATATTGTTTTGCATGTGTATAGAATGTGTTTGTGGCTGTTCATCCACAGAGTTGTACATGAAATGCATGAAATATTATTATAGAAAAATGAAAAGTTTTTATATACAAGGATTTTCATCAAGGATAAGTACTTGTGATGGAGTTGTTTTTTTTTTTTTTTAAAAAAAAGAGTCTGGGATCTCTGGATGTTACATACTAGAACTTTCAGCCCATTAAAATAAATGTTTTGCTTATTTTAACAAAAAAGGGTACTGTTATAGTGCTACTGAGTAGCTAGTGCCCAAGATAAATCAGCCTGTTAGCATTCTATTTAAAGCGAAGTAGAAGAGAAGAAGTAATTTGATATTGAAATGAGTTACTTTTCCTCTCTATTTTCCAACTTTTTTTTCCCTCTGATTATGATACATTATGAGTACAAAATCTTAAATAGCTTGGAGTGTATTCAATATATATTTTTTCCAACTGTTTCATTAAAGAATCGCTGTTGGATGTTTGCTTACCTCCCTGAAAGTTGCATTTTGAGATCTAGAGTCAAATTGAAAAAACTAGTATTGAAGTTAAAAGAAAAAAAAAATCACTTTGGAATACAGAGTCAAGCTATTTAAGTGACTATGAAATGGATGGCAGCTCTTAGGGCCATTCATTGTAACTGAATGTTGCTTTCTCTGTGCTCAGTGTATCCTCACTATGACTTAAAGTCCAACCTTTCAACTCCATACAGGCATGGAGTGCCATAGCTCCATTTGCACAAGAAATGTAATGATTAAGATAAAATATGTGGGAGTCTTTATTAATATACTGTTATAGTGGACTGTTTCCTTTTTGATTTATTTTGAAATGTATAACAATTGAACTTTTGTGCCTAATAGGGTAGGGATTCCCCCCCTGCCAAATCCTAATCAAACTTCTTTTTTATTATGATTTTTTTAAGAAATTCTGTACTTCAAGAGAGAAGAAAAAGCTGGTCAGTTTTATGATGAAGGCTAAAAAATTTTAATTTTATGTATTTTCTTCAGGAAAGCTGCCAAATGAACTTGAGATGCTTGTCGAAGACCCTTTGGAGTATACAGCGCCTCAGGATGGCAACCTCGTATATAAGCTATTCAGTTTGGATGATCTGTTGTTGCTTGTACGTTGCAATGTGCAAAAAGTAAAGACAAGGCCACGATTTCATAAAAAGAAAACAACTCAGAAGGTACAGATTGTGCTGCCAGCCCTTATTTATCCATTATTTATTCATTTATTTATTTTTAATTAGTGTGTTCAAATGGAACACTTTCCTTCAACAAACTGTCATTATTTAAGTTATACTGAGTATCCCTGGAATTAAAAAGAGGGCACAATGCATTTCCAGTCCTTTGCAACATTTGTGTTAGTCCTCTGGTAATTAATATATTTGAATTATAACTCTTCAGTGTACGCCTTCTTAAGTAAATATTTGCTCCTGGAAGGAAGGCAGGAATAATTTCTGATTTCTTTAGCCTCATTTGATTAAAACAGATAATCAAGTGTGATTCTGCATTTCTTACAAGGACCACATTACACTAATAAGCATGAGTAATTATACTAATGCCAATTTGAACTATTCTTAAAACTTAATGTACTAATTAGGTTTGCGGCCTAAGGCTTTAAGATTCTTCACGACTGTAAATACTTCAAAGCAGAACTGAACCTTGGTATTACACCTAGTTAAGCAGAGGAATATAAGACAGAATGAACTGCAGAGGATGTGTTTCAGAGACACCCCTTCATTCTGCTTTAGGAGACTGTATGCAAATTGTCTTAAGGAATAAAAAGTTTTAATTGAAGTTAAGATAATCCTCATTATATCTGGAGAAGGAAAGTCCTCTGAATGATTTAACAGATCTGTTATCTCCTTCCCCCCAAAAATCAGAATTGTGGTAGACATGCATGCCCTTTGAAGTGTTTCTGCTTTATTCAAACAGAAGTATATACTTGGAACTCTGTTTGCCAGGATTTCCTGCACAAAAGTTTATTTTGAAGAAATATCATCACTGTTAATGCTGATCCATTACCTATAAATGGTTTCGAGTAGCTACTTAGCTTGTTTCAGAGATCCCATGTCTGTTGCTTTTCAATATTGCTAATTAATTTTATGTCCTTCTCAGAACTGACAAGGGATAATACCTCCAGTGGTGTCAGTTGTAAAACTTTAGTATTTGCATACAACTTCAAACTTTTAAAATACTGTGCAGAAGTAAAGTAAGAACTCTTCTTTTTTGCTAGCAGGAGACTGTCTTTTCTCGGAAAGACTGAGATGTAGATATAATAGAAAAGTAGGGAGGATGAGAGGCTGTAGAGGTGCAAGTGAAATCCTGTTTGCATATTGTCCTATCCACTAGCTTAGCACTAACTAGTGCTTTTATGGACAGTCAGAAATCGAATGCTGTTCTTCATTTTGAAAACTACCTGCTGAAAGTTGATGATGTAAATGAGAAGAGTCAATTTCAATGAGACGCTTTTGCATGTTAGTGTTAAAACACAAATGAAGGTTCAGATTTCAGTGAGGTTCCGAATACTAACTTCTGATTCGAAATTCTGTTTTGAAATTCATATTCTGACATAGAGCAGAAATAACAGGATGCTATTAAAGTAATAAGTAACCCTGAAGTCTACCACCTATTTTTTTTCTAAAATTCCTGAGGAGGGCAGTAGAGTATAGAAATGTGAAATTCAAAATAATGTGCTCTTACAGAGAAATTTCTTTAGCTTTAAATTTTTATTATATGTAAAAGTTTGCTAGGCTGCAAACATGTATACACACAAAGTTTTTTCTTTTCATCTTCCCTTATATAGAGAGGAGTTGTCTTAAATTCATCTTAGAGATTACGCAGAACGTGATACATTATACGTGATCTGTGGAAAAGTCTGTGCTGTTTGGGCTTTAGTGGAAAATCACGATGATTATGATTTGCATTTACTTTGCAAGATGTAATTCCATTGTGGTATTTGGTTTTGGATATTAAATGCTCCTTTCACTTATATTTTTACTTTTATAGCCTATTCCATTATTCCTGTTGCCAAAACTAGAATATCAAGCCTATTATGGTGTTGAAGCCCTTACAGAAAGTGAAGTATGTCGACTGTGGACAGAGAGCATGTTGCATTCTGAATGCACCTTTTATATTGGTAAGCTTGTGTTGATTTCTAGAAATACATATCTATCTAAATACTCACAGAATAATAGAAGAGGAAGGTACTTATCACAGGTGTATTCCATGCATCCTCCTCATTTCTTTTAGTTTTCTAAACTTGTTTTTCACTTTTCCCTTAAGTTAGAATTCTATCTGATTCCCTCTGGGCATCAGTGACACTATTTCATGCTTAAGCATGTAGGAGCGGTTATTTTCAAGAACTGCATTTATTTTCAAAGACAAATGTATTTGTAAACCTGAATTTAGTTCATTTGAAGTAGTGATCTTTAGGATTTTCTCTTTGATAGCTGTAATATTCCTCAGGAGATCAGAGCACAGGATGATCTTCATTAACTGCACATTTTTCAGGTTCTTCAGCTTCCAGATCTAACTGATCCCTGAAATACCATCTTCTGATATGTGCTATGACTTGAAACATCCCTCTCAGAGATAGCTGTGGTAGTTTTTGTGCTGTACCGTGCAGCAGATGGAAACAAGAAGTAAACAGAATCTATGAATGGGAAGTAGTTTGCATTCTGTAGAAATTAACCAGGAAAGTACAAATATTGGGTGAAAGAGATGACAGCTCTGAGTCAAAGCATAGAGGATAAGAAGTCAATAAAAGAGGGATAAAAAGCAGAGGAATGTTAACAGAAAGGTATCTTATTGCAAACATTATTTTGTCCACAAACAAAACATAAACCAGGCATGCTAGTGGTACATGGACAATTTTATTAACAAATTTTCTGTTAAAATTGCAAACTGATGTTTGTACAATGACTTTAGAAAAAAAAGGTTCAAAACGACAAAAGCTTAAATACTTGAATACACATGTTCTGCTTACCTAGGCAAAGAAATTCAAGACAGGCATAAAAAAACCTTTTTGTTACTAATAATCTCTTAATTAGCAAGATTTTAAAAGCCACAGTTTGCACTAGTAAAGTGGTTAGTCAACGTGCATTTAAAAATATATTTGGTCCTTGGTACAGAGTGAGGGCAATCCTAGCTGTACAGTAGATGACTGTTGTACAGCTGCAGCTGCCTCGCTTTCCTGTTGTAGAGAGGTTTGTCTTGTTTTTGTCGTTGTTATGGCAGCAGCTGCAGCTTGTGGTTACCTAACCTATGCAGTTGTGCACTGAATTACCGTTCTTTTATCCGTCAAAGTATTTTCTCTTATTTCTTAGCAGCTCACATGAAAACACTGTTTTAGAAATGCTGAAGTATTTCTATTGTAATCTTTACTTTCAGAGTTTGCTTATCTTAAAAATAGAAGGTTTATGTGAAATCTGATGTGTTTGGAACACTAGTTTTTTTTAATAGCATCTACCTTTGTCTGCTGTCCAAATTTACTTTGAAGCATGAAAGCATGAATGCAATTTAAAAGTTTGCTGTTCTTCCCTTGCAGCCTCTCCCCCGCCCCCCCCCAAAATAAAGTGCATTCAGTTCTGCAATTGTGCATTAATATGCTGTAAGCAATATATTTATGTTGAAGGAATAGAATTTTAGAGCAGGTAGAAGAAGGGCGGGAATTCACTGCACCTTGTACATCTTCTAGAAAACCTTGCTGATGATCAACGTTTGCACAGTCACAAGCAGTTTAAGGAAACAGTGAAGCTGTAGAGAGAGGGCTAATCTGCTTTTAACGCAACAACCTAGAAGAATGCACTTCTATCTTATCTTCCATCAGCAGCAGATACTTCGTGTATGGCTCGAGTGCAGAAGCTTGAGCACAGCCCATCCAACCACCACCCCTTTTATGGAGGTTCTCAGTGTAGAAGAAAGCAGGTAGAGGGGGACAGGAGTTGTTCTGGTATTAGCAGTCACCACCGTCACCCTGTGGGATGGAGCTTCCCCCATTCCCTGGCAGGAGCGCATACATCCTAGCCATGAAACGCTGTAGTGCCCCAGGCAGGCAGCCTTCTCCGAGCTCTCCTCCCCTTGGGCGCTCTTCTGTTCTTATGCTATGCTTGGGAAAAAAAGTCAGCAAGATTGAGAAATTCTGTTTTTTCCTGTGATGACTATCAGCTCTTGAATGTGATTTTTCCTGCAGCAAAACCTGAGGTACATAAGGAATTTCCTTGGTGTAGTCTGGAAGCGGGGAGTTACTCTACGTTCTTGCTGTCCTAGCAGTAATGGGCCCTCCCAGCCTGGAGGGTGGGCCTGCTCCGATCACTGTTATTAACGTACCCACTGCAGGTACACAGGAGGACCCTCACCAGCCTTTCATACTGGCAGAATATGTGGTTTATTTAAGTGGACGAATTGGAGAACTGATGATTTTTGGTACCACTATGTGCGTGGAAAGTTCTTTGGACCTTGGTCTGTGCCCTGTAATTGTCCTATGTTGTCCAGTGCTGCACAGATGTGTGTGGCCGAGGGAAGGATCTGGGCGCTCAGCCCAGTGACTCAGCAGTGCTGCCAGCTCATCAGACCAGAAGGAAAACGAATGTGTAACTGTGGCCTCCTTCGTAAATTGCAGACTGCTATTACAGCAAATTTGTGATTGCTTTTCTCCATGTTCTCAAAGAATTAACTGATAGTGTGTGCAAAAGTCGAGATATTATCAAGAAATCAATGTAAAAGTGCTTTCCCTTTGTTGCTAGTAAAGCATGTTAAAGCATATTGTTTAGTGTTGCTTTGAGATCCCTTTCTGCTCTAGTAAGAAATCCTGCGTCGGGAAAGGAAGTAAACGCTGTGACGTGTTTTCAAAAGAACGTAATTGCATTTAAATAGTAAATAAAGTTATGTTATGCTTGCTGTTTTCAGATGGGGACATTTTACCCCAAACACTATTTCCGTATTTGCCTTAAGTGCCTAAGTGAAACCTATTCCAAAAAAAATAGTTTATTTTCACTTGAATAGAATAACATTGGCTTTTAAATAAAAAGACTTGAAAACTGGTTGGAGAAAACTGTATGCACAACTTACTGAATGCCAAACATTTTCTGTAATTCTCTTAATGAATATAAGATACAGCAATACAAGATAGATTTTAGAAGTTCATAAAATTTTGTCACTTTGCTGTCTGCGAGTTTCAAATTTGAAAAGGTTGTTATTTCAGAAGAGAGTGATGGGGAATGGAGAGCACAAAGACGTAGGGTTTTTTTTGTTTATAATGACTTTAAGTTTTTGTTTTGTTTTTCCCTATAGGCAACAATGCAGAATGTTAAAACTAGCCATGTAGTCTTGCACAAAATACTGGTATTAAGAAGAGTAATAAATATACAGCAGCTAAAAGAAACTAGCCATCCTGATAGGTAAAGCAACTACATGTCGGTTATTGTGCACCATTTGCAAATACTTTTCACTGTAACAAGCTGTAAATGAGCAAATTTTTTCTTTAATTTGCAGTAGGTCTACAAATATTAAATGATACTCTTAGTATTTATTTGTCTTTTTTTTTTCTCCAGGACGTATTGATGCTTTTACATCAAAGCTTATTATGCTAGAAAAGATTTCTCCAGAAATGTTAAGAGAAAAACTTGTGATGATTAAGTGAGTATTTTTCAATATCATTTTAACAAAGAGTTTGAGACTGTAATAATTCTTGCAAGTTGCTACTTTTATAATAATTGGGGTTTTTTTCTATTGACAGACCTGCAAATTCATTAAATATACTTCATCATATCTTGAAGAAAGTGTCTGAGTAAGTGCTCCACTATTGTTCTTTGTATCTGCTTGCAGCATTACTGAGGTTATCCTGTTTCTTTGGTAGGGTGATTGTGTAGTCTGGTTGTTGTTTCTTCAGGTACCCTAAAAGTTATTACAGGTTCTTTCAGGTCTAGTGTAGTATAATGCAGGATCTTGTAAATATGCACCTAGGGTTAGATTTTTGGTTTTTTTTCTTTATATAAAATTTCTTTTGTTGTTTCTTTGCCTTTCTATTGTTGTTTCCTTTTCTTTATTTAGTTGCCCTCAGGCATTGAGTGGATGCATAATCATGTGTTTTGCTGCATATAGGTAGTTTTCAGGGCAAATCTTTTGTTGAACCGGAGCACAAATAACCAATACATTGGTGATAAATTAGTATATTTTAAATATGTACGTCATAAATATGTAAACTAGTATGTATTTATCAATACACTTCCATGCATTTTTGTCTGTAGTCTTTTTATGAAAGAGGGACTAATGTGTATATATAATGTGTATATAAAGATGTTTTCTTTTCTATTAAGAAATTAAGAAGCTTGTTCAAAAGATCAGAAGAAACAAAACAATATAAAGAGTATTTTTATTTTAAATCTTAAATTTGGATCTGTATCACTTCAGTTTGCAGGAGGGCTCTTATTTACTGACTCATGCTGCTGGGGATTCATCAGTTGCAATCTATAAGAGTTCTCCTGACAAGGCAACCAGAGCATCCTATAACTTGCACAAAGCTCACTGCGAGCTGCCTGCTGTTCCTGCCAGCCTGTCAGTGCCGTGGGTACCGCTAGAGCCCAGCCTCCCTTTGCCCTATCACATGAGCCATGGAAGAGTCCCATGCACCTTCCCGCCCGCACCCGCAGAGGCCACGTGGAAACAGAAGGTCAGTGTCACATTGGTGGGAGATGGACTCTGCTGTTTTGAAGCAGCCTGGTTCAGGCCATTGGATATAGATGCTGTGTTAGTCTGTCACCTTTGGGAGTAGGAGACACTTCTTGGTGTACTAGGTTCACTGCAGGAATAGCAAGGCCTTTTTCCTGAAACTCTTTTTCAACTTTGTTTAGTATTAAAAGAGAGAGAAGGCATGTTTTATAGAGCTCCATCTCCACACCAGGGTGGGCCTCTTAAGTAGATGAAATAACTTGTGCTGTAGAGGTTGCTCTTTCACCCTAATGACCACAGAGGGAGTTGTAGGTGATTAACTAATTTCTACCTGTCTACCATTGAGGTAGGTAAGGCTAAATTTTACTTTCACTGCCCGTTCCGTGAGTAACTATATTGATCTCTTACTCCATTCTCCAGTGTACCTGATCTCTCTCTCTCTCTATATATATGTATGTATACACACACACATATATATATATTGCTTCTTAGAAAAATTTTCACCATTTGCGACAAAATTCTTTCAAAATGGACTTTTACATCTTTATGTGGACTAACAATAGCAAAATTATGTGGTAAATGGCCTTATTAAAAGATGAGTAATATATGGGTTTACAGTACAGATGCACAGAGATGTACTTGCCTTTGAATGGATTTTTTTCATAGTTGTGTTTTTATGATAGTACTTTTTGTTCATTTACCTTTTCCTCAAACAATTTCAGGGAGGACTTGTTAGCTGGTTTCCTGTTTGTCAGTCCAAAATTTTCCCCCTTTTCATCTTATCTACCTTCAAATCTCAAAATCTTGAACTTATAGGGCTTTTACAGACAAAATTCACATGCCTTGAAGGCCCCAAAGTTACGAAAATCTAAAGAGTTTTGTAAAAATAGGTAGCTAGATAGAGGAGAGGGTGCTGCTCTGAAAAGTGGGGCAGTGAGTACCAAAACATGGTAGTTTTTTGAGAGAACCCATGCAGGAGGGAGCAAGTGAGCAAAGCAGACCCCAGAAAGAAGATTGTCAGAGCTTTTGTGTTATTAGGTATGGGATAATCATAACAGAAAGCAAGAAGGAAGTACACTTCAATGAAAATTGATACTGATTTCAGCAGATAGGGGAGTACCTTGGGTCTGGCCTTGTTTATAATCTTTCAGAAGCTCATTTAGGAATAATAATGATTCTCTGCAACAAAAGCAGACTTTCCTTTTGGCCCTCTTAAAGTACAAGGAAACTTTCACGGCAATTCAGATGGCTCCCTTGACATGCAGAGACTTAAATTCTCCTTGGAATGCTGTTGGCTGCATAGTAAAACAATCGTACCAGTTTATATATAATACTGTTTCTAAAATAAGAATAATATGTTACTTTGTATTCAGAAACATAGGAGTACTTGAATTTAGGAAAATAAAACTTTTTTTTTGTCTCAGGCATAAACGTACAATTGTGCATGGCCATCTTGAGCCTCTTTACTGAAACTGAACAACCTCACCGAGCTTGCGTGTTCTGCATTTTTTCACAGAAGTAGTTTAATCTTGAAGTGTATTGTTTTAAATGTTTGAACATGAGCTTCATTCCAGGCCCTGTTAAGTAAACATTCATATATCTCAAGTTACTAAGATCTTGTTTCTTCTTGTTTTGGGGTGTTTTTGTTGTTATTGTTTTTTTGACAGCATAGAATTTAGTATGAGAAGCGAAATTAATTGTCTGCATTAAAGAAACTTTTGTTAGAAATTGTATAGGAAAAATTCTTAGTATCCCAACCTGCTTGGCAATTGAAGCTGATGCATAAATGATGCATATCATGCTTTGAAAATTTCCTTAAGGTTACAGTCTCGGCTCTAATGTCTTAAACACGCAGAATTACATATTTAAGTAATAAAAATGTCAAGCATTATTTTTGCTCAGTGTAGACATTGATTTATATAAAAGCTGCACACTGTCTCATTAGTGGTCTATGAAATGCTTGTGAGGGTCAGTTGTATGTTCTGGTCACATACACACGTTTGTCCTGACTTCATGTGAGGGCACAAGTGAGTTGCACATCAGTTCCCCTTCCCTTGTGCATTTTTGGTGTCTGCTGGCAGGAATTGCAGGCATGTGGGCAGGAGTGGAGCAGGGGTAGTCAGATCCCCTGGGTGACAGGAAGGCCAAATGTGCCTGTCGCAATTCAGATGTAACCCCTGTGCCCAGCTTGATCAGCAAGAACTAGAAGGCAGTTTTCTGAAGGTAGCTGGGTATAATTATGCTCTCTTTTATTCTCCACTGGTACGTGTCTAGATGACTGGAGCGAAGGCACAACTGGACACACCCAGTGAGGAAAGGCCAGTAGCTATGGAAACAAAAGGCAATCCAGCTAAGCCTGCTAGAAATGAAGGTGTGGCTGCAAAGAAACCCAAGAAGAATTACTGCAAACAAAGAATGAAGATGAAGAAGTGGAAATGAAATAAAACACAAGTGAAATAGGAATATCTAAACCCTATTGAGGTAAATATGGACTGGAGAAGGACAAGGCAAACCAAAAAGTCTGACTTTCTTGCAGCATCAAAGGATCCAGAACAACCTGGTAGAGGAGAGAACTACACAACCATGTTTAGAAAGACTGAAACATTCAGCAGACCTTTAACCCTTTCTTATCTCAGTAAATGCATTTCAAGAAAAAACCTCCAATTTAGCTGTAGCAGAGGAAAAAGGAAGTTATCTTTGGTTGAGCTTAGGGAACAATAAGTAACTTTTGTAGGTCTCACATATTCATACAAAAAAATCTGCATCTTGAGAAATAAAGCAGTGGTTGAGAGCAATATCTGATATAACTACAATAAGAAGAAGACCTTTTCAGCTTTCTTAATTCTTCCGGGGTTTACTACAGCTTTGCATTCTGATATAATTTTAAATGACATTTTGTTTCATAGGAAATGTACATAAAGTGAATGACTTGGAGTTAATTAATCATTTTAACACAGTATTACAGTCTTTTTAAAGGAAGTTATAATACTTAGAAAAAGGTATTTATTTTAATTATTTATTTCAGCCTAAATCTCATATCAGACTGCGTAACAGTAGTGCTTATTTAAAATATAAAATTTTGCCTGAGGGAACAAGTGATAGAGTTGAGCTTTCGGTTATCATTCCCCAAGCCCTATCTGCCTGTCCTGTGCTTCAGCAGTTCGCTTGAAATTTGGAGCCAGACTGACAGAATGAAGTCAGGAGAACAGAGCACTTAGCTCTTGCAAAAGGTCAAGTAGTGTGATATCAGATTCCTTCTTTGTGAATAGCAGTTTTGTAGAAGAGTTAAAAATTTTATGAATGTACCGACAGAGTGCCTTATAATCTTTAACATGTTTATAACTAACATGAATTGTTTGCTAGGGAAAGGTTCATTACATTAAAGCTGTTTTACTGTACTTACTTTCAGTATTTTATCAGATAGTAAATTTTAACAGAAACAATGCTTGATATTGAGGCTGCAAAATTTTATCGTAGGTTTCGTGTTGCCTGGATTTCTGCCTGTAATTTGCTTCAAGAGTGTTGTTTTTAGAAGAGCTCTTGTATTCTTGAAAACTTTAAGAATGAGCCTAATAAATTATTTCCCATTTTTTATTACAAACCATACAACCAGTTTTAAATGTCTGAAACAATTTTGGTTTGGATGATATTCCGGGGAACAACAAGGCCTTAACGAAGACTTTCTTCCAAGTCTTTTATTTGGATTAAATAAGTTACTGAGTGCACACATCTGATCAGAATTCGTCTGCTCCATTGGTCTTGACATGGCACATTTTAGTATTATGGAAATATAAATTTTAAAAAGGTGTTTATTGGGTTATCTGTTTTATGCATATCTGAAGACATTTTCTTTTGGTAGGCTTATGCAATTAATGTACATTAAAATCTGTTCTCTGTGAAATATAAAATATTTCCTGTTTTCCTCCACATGCACTGCTAGATGCACTTATTATGTTGTTCACTCTGTTAATTTTTTAGCCTCCATTTCTTGTGCTGTGTTAGCAATAAGATGGTTTAGTGTAAAGCTGTTTGTAGATTATAACTATTCCTGAGTAAAAATCCTAAATCTGTTCAGTGAGCTCCCATAATAGGAATATTTTAGCAGTGAGTCATTTCTGCCAGATAACTGTTCAGGAATTCATTGCAGAGTTTTCAGCGTTTGTATAAAAATGTAGCCAAACAAGTATGGAGTTCAGTCTCTAGATGCAGTTATATATGTTAGAAGTGTATGTGCGATTTGTCCTTATATCCTGGTGCCTAAAAGACTTATTTCTATCTTTCAGCAGTATAATAATGGCATTAAAACTGTATTGCCCTATATATTTGGGGTAGGGAATCTGGGAGATGGGTTTGCCATTTACTGTTACATTTTACTTGATTTGTTTTCTTTTGGATTATCTGAGACTGTCATACTGTGCCCTATGGTAGATTAGCTGTTTCAAATCCTCTGGTTTTGTTCATATGTCACTTTTTTTTTTTTTTTTTTTTTTTTTAATCTGTAAAGGAATACATGCTGCTGCGAACCGTGGGGTTGTTCACTTTGTCATGGCTATACAGCACTTAAATTTGAGAATTAATACACAAGTTGTTTGTATGTTTGTTTTAAACAGGCTAGATATGGCATACAGTGCTCTAGTGCGTGAGAGGAAATTGCTCTTCTCCCTGACTTTCAGGGAGTCCTTTTCAGCAGAGCTACACCCCAGCCTGCTCTGCTCCTTTGGATTATTTTGTCCTGAGTGTGGGAATTCACCTTGGTCAAATCTCATGCCATTCTTGTTGGGCAAATCCTGCAGCCTGACAAAGTCTCCCTGAATAGTGGCTCTTCCTTCTGCTGTGTCTATTGCTTCTCACAGGTTGATTTAATCCTGTTAGCCAGATCCTTTCTAAAGATGCTGAATAATATTGGACCCAATATTAGCCCCTGAGGAACTTCTCTCATGACTAGCTGCTAGTTCAAATTTGAGTTATTAATGGTGTCATTAAAAATGGAAGAAACTTGCTGAAAATATAGGGTTTGTCAAGCTGTATGAGATCACTGATATTAAATCTAGTTCACTGGTGTTAGAGAATTAAACTGATAGTATCATATAATGCATTGGCAATTTGAAGGTAATTTTGGAGGACTAGAAGGGGAATTCTTACCTGGCATTTAAGGTTATTGACATAAATCCAAAAGCATTAGTTCCTTATCTTAGCATGAATAATTACAGTGGTGTATTGTTTGTGAAATCTAACTTCCTCCCTTTATCTTACAGTAACAAGTGGTTTTTCACCTTTATTTGCACTAAGTATTTATGGATATTTATGGATCACTTATGAACAGCTTTCATTCCTACTTATGCCTGGCGGCTAGACCTCCTCGCCTTCTCTTTTTGAATGCAAAACATGGGTTACAATAGGGTTACAATAAACATCATTTACTTAAAAAAAAAAAAAAAGTAAAAAAGTAAAAAAGAAACAGGAAAAAAAAATTTTTTTCACTGTCTTGCAATGCAGCCTAGCAGCTGGAAGGACAGAGAAGAATTGTGACCAATTGTGAATATGTGACCAAACCTCTACTCCTGTTTTGGCACGTGATAGCTACAAGGTAACAGCACGTGACTCTATCGGTCTCAAGCAGTGAAGTTTAATAGCAAACACTGAACCATTTGAAGAGGTACTTCTGCTTCTTATTTCATTTGCCTTACATTTTAAATCATAGCTGATATTTAAATCATAGCTATCCTCCAAAAGATGATAAAAATCATTTAAGACTTGGTCATTCAGAGTATTTAATGCTGGCTTCCTTTAAGTTGCCTTTAATTCTACTAGCAGAATAAATTAGGTGTAAGCTTGACTTTCTTATATAGTTAAGAGTATAGAGTAATAACTAAGTATAGCTATGCATAACTAAGCTCCCCCTTTCTAAGTACAGCCTTTCCTAAAAGAAAGGGCTCAGTCCTTCCCAGAAGTGTTACCATTACTTCATGTGTCTTTAAATTTTTTATGTGAAAAGCATGTTTACTGGGTTTTATGTTTGTTTGTTTTTTGGTTTGCTTGGTATTTTTTTTAGTTGCTGTTTAACTATATTACAAAAATTTTAAAATTCAATTGGCAAGTTCAGATTCCATTTATCTATGCCCAAAATATTAAATAAAAATGTTTTCAAATATGCATTGCTACATTATATCCCCCAATTTAAATTTCCCTTACATATCAGTTTCCTTTGCAATCATTCCTCCCATATCAATTCTCCCCCCAGTATACTTTTAATGTATACTTCTTCATAGACATGAAGATTTTCTGTATATAAAACAAATTCATAAATATCCATATTAATAAAGAATGTAACCAAATTTATTCCGATATAGATACTGGCCAAGTATTTTTTTAGAAATCATTTGAACCCATCAACAGAATGAAGTGAGAAAGTTTGTTTAGAGGTTCATCACTGAAAAATCAGATTTGGAGTAGTGATTCAAGCTGAAAAAAATAATTCCAGCATGTTCATAAAGTCATGGCTCTTATCTTTAGTGCACACTTTGAAACTTCCTTATCCCATGGGTCTGTGCCAGTCCTGATGTGTCACTACTTGCAAACCTCCACCTACTCAAATCTTTGCGCAAGCATTTCAGAGTTCCTTTTTTAAAAAAAAAAAAAAAAAAAGGAACTAAGCAAAATATTTTAACTGAACCAAGTCACTCCTCAGTCTCTTTTCTGGGGAATACTGCCTAATAGATAGAGCACTTCGGCAAACAATTTACAAATTGTTTTGTAAACTGATCTGAACAAATTCAAGCATTAAAAAAATAATGAAGGAAGAAGTTGTCAATATCCCATTATTTCTTACCACATGTACCACCCCTACTGAACAGCCATGTTAAAAAAAAAAAAAATACCTGAATCGCCAAAACCTTTGTTTTTGTTTTGTTTCCTCCCCAGAGCTGCATAGGTAACGCATCCAGGACTGCCGTTGTGCAGTTCTCTTCCCTTGGCTCTAAAGAGGAGCACGGTGCTCTGCTGTGTGTATCTGTGTGCTCTCTGTTAGTACCTGAGGAGCGAAATAAAATGGAAGGATAATCACTGGACAACTACGTATGCTACTTTGAGGGGATTTTTCTTGTCAAAAAATAGTAGGTGCTCATATCATAACTGAAGTTCTTTGGCAGCTTTGTGGAGAATCTCAGCAGAATGCTCATTAAGTTTGATCAGACAGCCTCATTTAATCCAAAAGTCAGCGTATTTAGATCAAGAAATCTGGGGAGCGTATTACACTGATGATGTAAGTGACCACGGGGAAAAAGAAATTAACAGGTCAATGAACTTGTCTTTTTTTTCTTTCTTTCTTTCTTTCTTTTCTTTCTTTCTTTCTTTCTTTCTTTCTTTCTTTCTTTCTTTCTTTCTTTCTTTCTTTCTTTCTTTCTTTCTTTCTTTCTTTCTTTCTTTCTTTTTTTTTTCTT